TGTATTTTTCGATTTTTTTTTTCTTTATTCTCCGCCCCCCCTTGCGCACATTCGAATTGACACATATCTAAGGGGCTTGTTTATACTTTTGGGGAATTAGCCAAGTGGCTAGGAAAAAAAGAAAAAAAAAAAGTGGCAATAAACGGCACTGCAAAAAATAATAGTTTATAGTGAATGAAAAGGAAGCCAATTTTGTATTATTTGTGTGGAAGAGACCAATTCGAAGGACGTAGCACTATTCGTCCTTTTTTTTTGATATTTTCTATTCCATGGCACGTGCAGCATCCTCTTTGGCACTGCCGCGATTGACACAGTCTAGGTGAGTGTAACTCGATTCAGAGCATATTGTGCACTAGGACAGGAGGCTTTGCATTTAACCCCGCCCATCAGTGGATCGTTCCTTTTGGGAAGTTCCCGCCGCAGAGGAGGCACCTTACTTCGGGTAGGTTAACACACTGCATGAGCTCATCCGCGCAAAAAGAAGATAAAAAAATTTACACACACGTGAGGGGGGCGCAATAAAAAAAAAAAACGCCTGAAGGTTTTTCATATATATATACATATATATATATATTTTTTTTTTTTCTTTTTCCCTGCGAAACGTACAGTATGCAGATCGGGGAACGACCACAGCTGCGTCGCAACAGAAGGGAAAACACTTCGAAACAGTGAGGAGCTCCCTCTCCAACTCGTCCTACGGGAAGGCAAAAAAGAATTAGTCACGCAGACTTACATATCTCAGGAGAGCCAAAGGGGGCACGCTTCTTCAAAAGGGGAGAAAGGCCCACAGGGAAATTTGCAACAACTGCTGCTGCGGTGTGAGCAGAGGGATAAATTGCCCTTTTGGGAATACACGCACACGAAAAGGGCAGCTTTCCAAATTTGAAGAAACCCCTGTAGTACCACCTTTGACTGTCATATCCGACCCATCTTGGAGACTCATTTTGGCAACCCCGTACGTACACATATAGTCAAATGCTGGGAATACAGGAAGGACGGGCATTCTTCAATGCCGCAAGGAACCCCAACAACAGGCCAGAAAACAACATCCGCATTGAGGACAATCTACCCAGCCTGAACGAAGTGTACAATTATTTCCAGGACTTTCTCTCAAGGTACTCATCCAACACTTTGAAGGAAGGAAATTTGAAGAGAACACTTTTCGAAAATGTGAAAAATAATAATTTCACTCTCGATTTGAAGTTGGACGATATATACAAACAACAGACGGTTTTCGAAAATAACGAAATAAGTGCAACTCCCATTGCGGAGAGGAAGATGAAGAAGCCAGAAAATTACTCTGCCATTTTGGCTAGGGCTCTTTCCGAAAGACCGCTAACATACTTACCTACGGTTGAGCGCGTGTGCTACGAAGTGTGCGAAACGGCTAACATATTAAATGATGAAGATGAGCACTTGAATTATATTCAGATTAATCTTCTCAATACGTTCATTAGGCCCACACCGATAAGGGGTCTGCTAGCAGCTACTCAAGAAAGGTTTGTCGTGGTCCCTGGAATTATTGTGCAGGCCAGTAAACCACAACATAAGATGAGGAAAATTACTCTCCAGTGCAGATATTGTGATCATAAGATGTCCATTGATGTGCCCTTGTGGAAAGATAAACCTCAGCTTCCACCCTATTGTAGATATTCCTCCACGATGAAATCTTCCATGGGAGTTGCCAATCCGATGGACAATCAGCTAGGATGCAATGGAGTGCTCGAGCCATATGTCATTTTGCCAAACGAGTGCACATTTGTTGATATACAATCTTTGAAGATGCAAGAATTGCCAGAGGCTGTCCCAACAGGAGATATGCCAAGACATTTGCAATTAAATGCGACAAGATATTTATGTGAAAAAATGATTCCTGGTGATCGAGTGTACGTCCATGGGGTTCTCACTTCATATAATCCAAACCCTAAACCGAATAGGGCAGATGGAACGAACTTTTCCTACCTGCATGTCTTAGGATTCCAAAAATATGACGACATGACGGGAAACGATTTAAATTTTGATGTCGAAGAAAGAAATGAATTAACTCTACTGGCAGCTGAACATGACATCCACGAAAAGATATTTAAGTCTGTCGCACCAGAGCTCTACGGGATGGACGAAGTGAAGAAAGCTTGTGCGTGTTTACTCTTTGGAGGTACTAGGAAGCGAATTGGAGAGGAGACCAAAATCCGGGGAGACATAAACATGCTCATGCTTGGAGATCCCTCAGTTGCCAAATCACAGATTTTAAAATTCGTAAATCGATGTGCTCCTGTTTCGGTTTATACCTCTGGAAAGGGTAGCAGTGCAGCGGGATTAACTGCCGCTGTTATGAGAGACAGTCAAGGTGTTTTCTCCCTAGAAGGTGGAGCCATGGTTCTGGCTGACGGAGGAGTTGTCTGCATTGACGAGTTTGACAAAATGAGGGATGATGATGTGGTCGCTATACACGAAGCTATGGAACAGCAGACCATATCGATCTCTAAGGCAGGGATTACTACCATGTTGAATAGTCGATGCTCTGTTATCGCTGCAGCGAATCCGTCCTTCGGATCATATGATGATTCGCAAGACACCACCGATCAGCATGATTTTAAGACCACCATTTTGTCCAGATTTGACATCATATTTCTTTTACGTAATAAACAGGACATCGAAAAGGACACGCTTCTGTGCAACCATATTGTCGCCTTACATGCGTCAAAGCATAAGTCTCAGGAGGGGGAAATTCCTCTTTCTAAGCTTACCAGATTTATTCAGTACGCCAAGAAGGAAATCGCCCCTTTGCTGTCCAAGGAGGCCAGGGACTCGCTGCGCAATTTCTACGTGCAGACAAGAGCGGAGTACCGAGGGGACAGGCGATCCGTCACGAAGAAAATTCCCATCACCTTGCGTCAGCTGGAGTCGCTCATTCGGTTGGCGGAGAGGTAAGAGGGCGTTCATGGGCGAGTTAATGAGGGCATTCATCAGAGCATCCCTTCGGTGTGCGAAGAATAGCATATCAGCTGGACGAGCTCGAGCTCATACGTGTCATTTGCCCAAATGCGTACCTCCCTCTGCGTTGGTGACCACCCCCTTTCGTATCGCTTCACTCCTAACCGTCTCCCCTTGCAGCTTCGCCAAAATGGAGCTCTCCCAGTTCGCCACAGAGAAGCACGTGCAGATGTCCATCGACCTCTTCTCGGCCTCCACCGCCGAAACGGCCAAGCAGTGCCTCATTTTCGAGACCATGTCCCCCTTGGAGCAGAAGGCCGTGAAGGTTCGCGCGAAGGAACACATATGTACGGTGCACATTTAAACGTGTGCAGTTTTGACGATCCGTTTGCGATACCATGTGAAACAACTTCCCTTTTCCCTGGCCCCCTTTAGCAAGCGGAGGATGCCATACTGGGACGACTCGGAAAGGGGCAGAGGGCCTCTCGGGTGAATTTATTCAGGGAGCTGCAGCTAAGAGGATTCGACCGATCGGCATTATCCAAGTAAGGAAAGCGGAGGGGGCTAAATGGCGAGGGGTGGTTGCATAGCACTACCAAGCCTTTTGAGAAGCAACACACATGTGTGCATATATGTATATGTATGAATGTATGTATGTACGCATGAGCATCCTCCGCGGAGAAACTCCGCCACGTTACCTCCTTTCTTCCCCCTTTTTTAACTGCGCAGGGCCCTGGCCATTCTGATCAAGAAGGGAGAACTCCAGGAAAGAGGAGACCGTTCCGTCAGACGCTGTTAAATGAGGAAGCATTCCTTCCCTTGCCAGTCCACGCGCATGCCAACGTTCTGCGCGGGTTATTTTTTTCTGTTCACCTTTCGACACGCCCACCATACATATGCTACATGTAGCACAGTGCGTACTGAGTAGCACATGTCACACATTGCTTGCCGCACATATAACATATGCATCGCCTCCCCCATGTATATATCTCCATTTTTAATTGCCATTTTGAAAAACTGAACTTTTTTCTACAATCTCTTTTATTATACCCCACAACAGGTGTACACTATTTTGCCCTCTTTTTAAAATAAAAAAAAAAAAAAAAAAAAGAATTTTCTTTTCCTCAATTGTCAATTAAGAAGGTGCAAAAAGTGTCACGCAGGGAAGTATACCGCTTTTAGGCGCACAACAGGGTTACGAGTCAGCCTTTATCTACGTGGTTCTGACTGGGCAAGGAGAATTGGCATTGCGGGTTGTTGACACATAGGACCTGCTTAAAATTCTGCACACGGCACGAATTCGATAACAGCGCAACATGGGACATTTCTACCTACAGGCTAAATTCCGGGGGAGTCCCCTTTCGCACCATCTTTATGAGACGTGACCTTTTTATTGTCCATTTATCTGCACTTTTGGCATGGACTTGGGCCAACTTTACGTACATTCATGTGAACTTACTCACGGGAGGACGGGCGCATATAAATGTTCGCTCAAATTTGCACACTTCTTTGGTGTTCACCAAATGGGTATACAACTTTAGCGGTGGAGCTTTGTCCACTAAGAGCTGCTAAAAATGGCGCATTAAAATTTGTTACAGCTAGGGTTTCCAGCACGGGGCGATTATTATTGTATAGTTAACATATTCTGACATGACGCCAGTTACCCCCCTTGGGGAGGATTCTGAGGGGTGAAGCAGCCTAAAGTAAGGCACGTACAAAAGTATACCTCCACAGATGTACGTACATGTAAAGGAACATAATATCGTTTACGCGCGTATGGCCCACCCACAGCTGGATTTTTAAAATCGCGCATATTGTGATGAGAAGTGCACACGGACAAATGAAGCAAACGCGTTGGCACACAAGGGAAAGAAAAACGGATGAAAAAAAAAAAAAAAAAAAAAAATACTGAAAGAGGAATAAAGAAAGGGAAATTTTTAGAAGTAAAAGGAAAACGAAAAGGGAAGAAGGCAAAACTCTGATTTCCACTTAAAGCGCGACCGCCCCATCTGCATGTTATGGGCAGAAAAATACCCCCCTCAATACGCATCCGCGCAAGGGGGATAAAATTATACAACATAATATGTATATATATCATATATATTTTTTTTATACATGTATAAACTGTATATGTATACATTTTATATATTACATAATATTTTTTACATACGTATATATATTTTTCACATATGTAGATATGCACAAATAAATACACTACACTTCCCCATTTTGGCCCCATTGAAAATGAAAAAAAAAAAAAAAAAATTCAAGTGAACATGAAAGAAGCGAAAATCAACACGTGAAGAAAATAAAAAAAATACTTTTCATTTTTTATACCGTTTTTTACATCCATTTTGATTTCACAAAAATTTCTTTCCCCCTTTTTTTCTTTTTTTTCTTTTGTTTTTACGCTCACGTTTTAAAAACAATTTAAAACTTCCCCTCAAAGCAGCGAAACAGAAATAAAAGAACACTTTTTTTTTTACAATATATATATGAGCAAATCATATCTGTAACTGTAAAGGAAATCAATTTTAGCAAGTTAAAAAAATTTATGTTAAAATTGCAGTACTGCAAAAATTGAAAGGAAGAGGAAAAAGTTCGTATATTGCCGTGCTTTGCTCGAATATATTGTGTTTATACCGCTTTGTTAAAACAAATCAGTCCAAGTATTTTTTTTTTCTTTTCTTTCCTGCGTGTGTTCGGGATTCCAGCACATATATTTACATACGTACTGTATACATATATATATCCCCCCAGAGCGGGCATCGCTTTCCTCAAAAAGTAAAACTTTTTTACGCAACCGCGAGCCTTCCTCACAAAAAACAAGATTTCTAGGCCATTTCACCAAAATGCAGATCTTTGTGAAAACTTTAACAGGTAAGGAAGCTTCTTGACTGGCGCCGAAGATCAGTATGCCCAACATATCCGCGTTTGCATGTCAAGCGGTATGACCATTGGCATGCATATTGGAGTGCCCTGCGTATTTGCATACATACCCTTCGCTCATAATTTGCCAACTTGCACATTACCTTTTTTTTTTCTTTCCTTCTTTTTTCCCCCCCTGATATGTTCCTACCCCTCTGCAATGTGACGTTTATGAGCATGCGCATATTACGGACGTCGTATTAGGGGATACGTTAATGTGTGCATTTGGTAGTTGCCTTTTTCATGTGCAACGTTGTGAGCATTAGGCAAAGTACAAACCGTTGTTCATCCCATTTTTTTCATACCCGTGGGGAGGGTTACCAAGTGTGTATATGTGATGCATGCAATTGCATATGTGCATGAAAAATGTAAACATGGAATTTTTTTTTAGTCAAGCTAGCCCTCTTCGTGTATATTTTCTTATTCTAGCTAGCCATTTTTGCGTATATATTTTTTTTTTTTTAATTTCAGGAAAAACCATCACCTTGGACGTCGAGTCATCCGACACAATTGAGAATGTAAAAGCGAAAATACAGGACAAAGAGGGAATCCCCCCTGATCAGCAGAGACTCATTTTTGCCGGCAAACAATTAGAAGACGGAAGAACGCTCTCGGATTACAACATCCAGAAGGAATCCACCTTGCACTTGGTCCTGCGTTTACGAGGTGGTATGCAAATTTTTGTCAAGACGCTAACAGGAAAGACTATCACTCTTGATGTAGAATCATCCGACACGATTGAAAATGTCAAGGCGAAAATTCAGGACAAAGAGGGAATCCCTCCCGACCAGCAGAGACTCATTTTTGCCGGCAAGCAATTGGAAGACGGAAGAACGCTCTCGGATTACAACATCCAGAAAGAATCCACTTTACACTTAGTGCTACGTCTTCGAGGTGGTATGCAAATTTTTGTGAAGACGCTAACGGGGAAGACCATCACCCTGGACGTGGAATCATCCGACACGATCGAGAATGTGAAGGCGAAAATACAGGACAAGGAAGGTATTCCCCCTGATCAGCAGAGACTCATTTTTGCGGGAAAACAATTAGAGGACGGACGAACTCTCGCCGATTATAACATCCAGAAGGAATCCACCTTACACTTGGTCCTGCGTTTACGAGGTGGTATGCAAATTTTTGTCAAGACACTAACAGGAAAGACTATTACCCTTGACGTGGAGTCATCCGATACAATCGAGAATGTGAAGGCCAAAATTCAGGACAAAGAGGGAATTCCTCCCGACCAGCAGAGACTTATATTTGCCGGCAAACAACTGGAAGACGGAAGAACCCTGTCCGACTACAACATCCAGAAGGAATCTACTTTACACTTAGTACTACGTCTGAGAGGTGGTTTTTAATTTCCTTTTTTTTTTTACTCCATTTTTGCGACATGTCCATATGTATAATGACATATCTTGTTTTTTTTTTTTTTTTGCCATTTTTTACGTCCTATTTAACATATAAATATAAATACACCTCTTATGTAACTTAATTAAAATTTTTTTATAAAAAAAATCACAAGGCTTGTGTTGTGTGCACATAGAGTACTATGCATTTGAATTTTTTTTAAGAGAGCGCTGGCCTGTGTTTATATGCATATATATGTGCACCTTTCTTGGCTCGTGTGTTTAAATTATCTATAGTTTTTCGGCCCCTTCTGTTTTTACTCTTATGTAGTGCCGATAACCTTATCCTCACGATATATATCTTTTAAAGTAAATTTTGATTATGTTATTTTTCCTTTTTTTTTTTTTTATTTTAAGGAAAAGAATATGAGCCATATGTACTTTAAACGCTAGCCAGGCGCGAGCACGCCGCATGCATATACGTGTGTGTGTATGCACAGGCGTGTGGGCGCGAGTGTATCCCTTGTATATGTACGTAAAGGCGTGTACATGAGAGTGTACATAGACGTGTACGTGTACACAAGCCTATATATGTGACTGTTGTTGAAGCGTGGTGTAAAAGATTGTGGAACCGGAATTTAAAGCGATGGTAGCTCTGGAGAGGTGCAATACGCCGTTGGGAATTGCAGATTGACCAAGAGGCCACGTGGGCATGACGCAAAACGGGGAGACTGGGCCAGCCGCTGCAATTGGCGCTGCAATTTGGGCTCTCGTTCCCCCACCGACAAGAATAATTTGTCAAAAAGGATTATAGCAAAGTTCGATGCGAGTCGGTGAGGCATAGTAAGATTGGTCGTGATCGAAACGGCGGAGGTAGTTTTTTTTTTTTTTTTTTAAAGCAAATTTTATTTCAAAAGAGGTCCATATTTTATAAGAATTACTGAGAAAAATTTCATACAAAATTAACAAAAAAAAAAAAAAAAATATATCAATTTGCATGAATATATATAACGAACTAGGAATTTTTTTTTTTTTTTTTTTTTTTTTTTTTTTTTCTTCTTAAAGAGGCGCGTGGTTACTATAGATGTGCAGGCCAACTGTGTGTGCACTGCTAGGTACGGAAATATACATAGGCATTACATACGGAGTATTAATGCGGCATACACAGACGGCGCAATTATATAGCATACGCATACGGCGCACATGCGACGCGCTGGATGTGCACAGGACGACCAACCCAGGGCACGGATTGAATCCGCAAAAGAAAAGAAAAAAAAGACGTATATACAAATGGGAGTGGGTGGTACTTAAGTCCTGCAAACGGGTGGGGGGAGTGCGTGGTTCACGCAGGATTTTTTATATACATATTATGTGCACACATACATGCAGACGCATATCTGCAGAATGCCCCACTGAGATAGTGTCATCATGCTATGGCGAGAAAGTGCCCGCCCTGGTGCGTGCACGGCGGGGTGCGCGCTGTGCTCCTAACGGGTGCTGCCCTCTGAGCAGAACGCCTCCCCGCGCAGGTGAGCCGGGAAAAAAAAATAGATAATACGCAATAGGCAATATGTAATAGGTACATAAACGGATAAACGGTCGAACGATGGAAGGATCGGACGGATAAACTCCCGAACCGCCGAACGATGAACGTATAGTGAATACCCAAACGGTGCCGAACAGCGGCGCGCTCCCCCCCTCTGCCCAAGTGCGATTGGCGACTCTCAAAGTGATAACTACGATAAGGACACTTCAAAGGGCTGAGCGTCCGCGCGCTGTTGTTCATGATGGCGCCAACAAATTGATAAGTGGGAAACAAAATAAAAAAAATCGTCCGATGGGTAGTTCCACGGTTGCGTCGCTTGGCTTCCACAAAACACACCAATTCGCCGCTTGGCTTCCACCCCACGCATCACTTCCTCACCGACATGTACCTCCTGCGGTAGAGGAACTTGGGCACCACCTCATCCAGCACCAGGTTGAGCATAGCCCAGGAAATGCCGAAGAGGTACTGCCACCAGAGCATGCAAGTTGTGTTCAGCACGGAGGTGATTCCCGGAAGGCAGGTAGCCAAGAATGTCATGGTAGCCGAAATGCTACATGCCAGATGCATCCACATGTTCCTATTAAACACTTTGTAAAAAGGCTCCCAACTTCGGACAGTATAAGCTCTGAGCATTTCACACCAGACGGCAGAAATAAATGCCATCGTCCTACCTTTCTTGGACCCCTTAGAAGCAACATCTTCAAAATTTTTCCGAAACACTCCATCAATCTTGTCGTCCTTTCCCTTCACAGAAGTACCTTCCTTTGGTTTACACCATCCATAATCATCTTCTTCTAAATCGTCTGGACACCCTTCCTCCATTATGGTTCGTATATCTGGATGTACTTCCATCGACGTTGGAGTTATATCTTTTACTTTCCCTTTTGCTGCTCCCCAAAATGTAACTGCTTCTTTCTTCTTAGGATGCCAAAAATTCACATTGGTAATCCATCCGACGTAATCTGGGGAGATTCTATACTCATAGGTACTGCAAAAATATTTGTACTCATGTTTGATGCTTACGTCTGACTCATCAGGGAGGGTAACGGTTCGACAGGAATTGTGGATATCATTTAGGGTGTAGCTCCCAGTGCAGATGTATAGTGAGAATGCTAATGAGAGAAGGACACATAATGCTTCGAAAATGGTATGGGGGATGATTCCATAGAACCACCACTTCTTCGTCATTATGGGCTGCTTCTTTGGTCTGGGAGGTGTTTTCATATTGTCTCGGTTGGGGGGCTCCCTCGATAAAGCTACTGCTGGACATCCATCTGTCATTAAATTTAGGAATAAGATTTGAAGTGCTTCTAATGGGAAGGGCATCTGTGCTAGGATGGCGACGGACAGGTAAAGTATTTCTCCAATGTTCGTACCGAGTAAGAAGCAGACAAATTTCTGTATATTGGAGAAAATGGTCCTTCCGACATCGATGGCGCTAACAACGGTGCAGAAATTGTCATCGATTAGAATCATCTCCGATGCACCTTTGGCGACCTCTGTTCCATTGATTCCCATGGCGACTCCTATATCGGCTGCTTTCAAAGCGGGAGCGTCGTTCACTCCATCTCCTGTCATTGCGACTAGGTAGCCTTTCCTCTTCAGGGACTGAACGATGGTGATTTTGTCCTCCGGCTGGGCCCGCGAATAGATCAGTATCTTATCTGTGAATGCATCCAACTGGTCGTCTGGAAGGATGGGTTCGTTGGGGTTCTTGTTAATGTGCAGCTCGGAGCATTCGATAGCCTGCACGTTCGGTGTGGAGAAATCTGCTTGGCCTGTCGCCTCGGTCTGGGCTTCCTCGCACGTATGGTGTCCCTTCTCCTCCCCTATCAAGCCGATGAGCTTCCCAATCGCAATTGCGGTAGGCTTCTGATCCCCCGTGATCATGATGACTTTCACTTGTGCCTCTCTGCAGGTCTCGATGGCTTCCTTCACTCCAGGTCTCGGGGGGTCGAACGCGGCGATGTATCCCAGGGGGACGAATCCGTTCTCCTTATCGGTCGTGACAAATTTCAATCGCTCATCCGCATCTTCTAACTTTTTCAGCATGGCAATGTTTTCACTGGTTAGAGGTTTAATGCAAACAGCGAGGACTCGCAAGGCCTTCTGCGACAGTTCCAAATTTTTCTGAGCCAATACGTCCTTCTCGTTTTTGCTAATTTGGACCCTCCAGCAGATTTGCGGTCCTTTGGGAGTGTCTTCCAAGAGGTGAGTGCTTCCATCGAGTAGCTTATCCGGGGCACCCTTGATCAGCGCGATGTGGGTAAACTTCTTCTCCTCTTTCTGCAGATGGAGTGACTCAAATGTGTCTTCTTTCCTCAGCTTGTAAAAGGTGATTTTCATTTTTCTCGAGGAGTTAAAGGTGACCTCCAAATCGTCCAATCGGATATACTCCTTGATGTGGGAGTGGTGACTATCGTTTGTAATGAAATTATAGCCAGCCTTGGCTGCAGCGACTACTATGGGCCCTTCACTCATGTTTCCATGAATGGTCCACTTGGACGTCTTAGGATCTCTAGCCAGGGTAGTATCGTAAGAGTTCAGATAAGCAGCAAACATGAGAGATGTTGTCCTCTTCACATCTATGGAATCATTTTCTGGATTGCCATAATTGTACAGGATCGAATCATAAGATATCCTCTGATTCTTCGCGAGGACAATTTTTTTTTTTAATTCATTTGTTAACTTAGTTGAATCGAATAATCCACCATAAGGTTCGAACCCCTTCGTAGGATAAAAGTCAAACGTCTTAGTCAACATATTATTTTCATCACTTAGATTCGAGTTCTTTGCAAACGTTACTGCGTTTATGGCTGTCATTTTTCCTTCCGTGAGTGTTCCCGTTTTGTCGGAGCAGATGACTGAACAGCATCCTAGGGTCTCTACCGCGGGTAACTTACGCACATTGGCATTTTTTCGAACCATATCCTTAGCCCCAGCAGAAAGTGTTATCGTGACAACCATTGGCAATCCTTCTGGAACGGAGGAAACGGCAAATCCTACTCCAATTACTATTATGACAAGGATAGGGTCCTTATCGGCATGTGCTGGATCTCTATAATTAATCAGGATAGCTAACGTTATGATGAATATCAAGACGATGATGGCAATAAGACCTATGAGTCCTCCTAGCTTATTTAATGCTACTTGCAATGGGGTCAATTTACTTCCCTTACTGGACCTTTTCAATTGAGAGGCGATTTTCCCGACCTGAGTATTTAATCCCGTGGCGGTAACGATTCCTTTACCCGAACCGTTTGTGACAGATGTGGTGGCGAAACATAAGTTCGTCGCAAAAGGGGTGGTGTAATCATCTGATGTTAACGTCTTCTTTACATCTTCCGACTCTCCTGTTAGCAAACTTTCATTCGTTTTCAGTTCTATCACTTCAATGAGTCTTAAATCTGCTGAGATTGAGTCTCCTGTGTTTATCACGACCACATCACCGACCACTACTTCCCTGGAGGGGATTACCACTTTCTGCCCATCTCGTAAAACGGTGCATTGGGGCGATGCCATTTCTGCCAACTTAGCGATTGCGTCGCCGGAGGATTTTTCCATATAAGTAGCTAGACAGGCATTGAACGTAACGATGCTGACAATCGCAACTGCTTCTACAATTTCGTTCAGGATGAAACTCGCTAGCGATGCAACGAGGAGTAGCATCACCACAGGGCTGCAATACTGGGACAAGAAAATCAACCACAGTGGCATTGCGTCGTCCTTTTGGATGTAATTTTCTCCATATTTTTCTCTGTTTATTTTTACTTGCTCTGTTGTTAGCCCTGAACTCAGGTCCGGCAGATCGAATTCTTTGCACAGATTTTCGATGCTCTCCGTTGCGTCGTGATTGTACCCGTCTGGGATTTTCGCCTCATCGTCAGGTTTTGGTACCCCCTTTGGCTTGGAGGCTTCCTCCTTTGGTTTCACCACGTCTACCTTTGGTTTCACCGCTTCCTCCTTTGGTTTCACCGATTCCACCTTTGGCTTCACTGCTTCCTCCCTTGGCTTCACTAGTTCCTCCTTTGGCTTCACTAGTTCCTCCTTTGGCTTCACTGCTTCCTCCTTTGCCTTCACTGCTTCCTCCTTTGCCTTCACTGCGCCCTCCCTTGGCTTCACTGCTTCCTCCTTTGCCTTCACTGCTCCCTCCCTTGGCTTCACCGTTTCTATCGTTGGCTCCACCACTTCTTCCTTTCGCTTCACCCATTCCTCCTTTGGCTTGGGCTCGCGCCTTGGCCGCTGTCCATCCCCCCGCTGTGCCTGATCCGCAGCTCTTCGACTCTCCTTCTGTCCAATGCCATCCCCGCCAGCAGGCGGAATGACCTTTTTCCGAGGGGTGCTCACTCCATTCGGTTCCTTTTTTTTTTGGTTTTCGATTGCTCCCTTTCGCTCCGTAATGTTTGAATCGTTTTGTGTGTTCTCGGAATTCATAACTTTTTAGGAAAACACGGATAGTGGAAAAAAGGGGGAATAAAATAGGAAAGACGGAGGTAAAAAAGCGGAAAAAAAGAGGGAAAAAGGAAGAAAAAAAGAAAAAATAAATAACCCTTAAAAATATTACTTTTTGATTATTTTTTTATCGTTTTATTCCCTTCAACAGGTGTTGTCAGAACGTTGACTCTAATTGGACAATCCCACATTGGTTCTAGGGTATTCTTCCCTTTCGGTGATGTGCACGAGTGAAAGACGTTTGCACTGAGGTGTGAAAGAGCGTAGAGATGTGAAGCAGCTCCTCCGTTTCTTTCGATTCCTCTTCCCTTCCCCGATAGCACTACGTCGTTGGTGTGGGCGTTGGCGGGGAAGACTTTTCTCCACTCCTTCACACAAATTTGTTTGTTCACTTTGTCACAGGGGTTGCTTTACAGTATGATACACTCTCTATGCACGTCGTGTACGAATCGCGCAACAGTCAGAGACGAAGAAAGAGTCACTAAGAAGCGCTACGAAGAAAGCATTACGAAGAAGGCGCTACTATATGCATACACAATGAATACAAATATTGGGGAAAAGTACAAATATGTAAGGATAACCTTAAATGGGTGGGGAAATATAAAAAAAAAAAAAAGAAAGAAAAGAAAAAAAAAACACAACAGAAAAAAAGAAAACACAAAAGAGTTTCTTATTTTTTTTTCTTCCAAAGCGTGTTTTCTCGTTGTATATACATGGAACGTATATACCTCTCTCCTGAAATAATGTCACCATGAAAAATGAAATATAAACATATTAAACAAACAAGTATAAATTTATATGCATACAATATTATACTTGCTGCTATTTTTAACTCACACTCTCTCTTTTCTAATTCCTTGGTGGAAAAAAAAATAAAAAAAAAAAAACAAACAAACGAAAGAACGGACGAACAAACAAACAACGATTTTTTTTCTTTATTTTTGTCAAAAAGAATAAAATAATTCCAAAGCGCATGTAGTCATGTAAATTGCTGCATATGCGTAAATGTATCCTTATACGCGCCAATGATATATCGTATCCGCTACGTGTATGTACAAAATAATATGGCAGGTAGAAATAATCAAATCGATGAGCGATGGAGAAAATGGGAATGGCGACCATACATATTTTATAAAACACGTGGGTTTATATACCTCTCGTGCATTTGTGTGAATTCTATTTTTTTTCTTTCCTGGATGGAGGAGGTGTTGTGTCGCCGCTTCCAACTTTGTAAAAAGAGGGGATTAAAAAATGTTTTAAAATAATGTATGCGTGTTGTTGCGGCGAGTTACAGAGAAGAAAGTCTTCTGCGAGGAGAACTCTACGAGAGCGCCGCGCTGGGGCGTTGCGCTAGCGCCTACGCCTAGGAGGGGAAAAGCAAAGGAGAACACCTTTGGGAGGTGCACCAAAATAAACGCCTTTGGGTGGTACACCAAAAGTAACATACGGAGGGGCGATTTGGCACGCCTTCGTCTGGGATGCCAAAGGCACATCCCTTGTTAACCCCTATCGCCCCCCTGCGTGCATTTCGTTCCCACTTTCAACTTGCATATGTATACGCGCGGTCGGTTTGTCCCCACTTTGCTATTTTACCTACCTAGTAAAAACCAACGCAACAGTCATGGAGAAAAGAAAAGAAAAGAGAGAAAAAAAATAAATAAAGAAAAACAATTACGCGCTTCGGTTCTTCCCTGGGAATTTCCCCTTCGCGGTCCTCGCTTAGCAACTTGCCTCTATCATCGCCCTCTTTTTTTGCAACAAGCTTCATTTCGAAATGGGAGCAATGCGGCGAAAAGGAAAAAGAGGTGTAGTATGTCGCCATCACGCGATGGAGATTACCAGCAAACGCCATTAGAAGCCCAGTTTAAACAACGGGGTGGGTTAGAACCCTGCAGCGTATGTCGACGCAGGGAACAGCGCGTAAGGGCCACAACATGTGAGCAAAAAAAACGCATTTCTTTTTCCGGCCTGAGGTAGTTCCAGCCAATGTATTTAGTTTTTCTCCACTGTCGTTAAGGGAGGTACCGAATCTGTACGCGCATGGACCAGCATGAAGATTCCTCACCCATATGCCGAGGAAGTTTACCTATGTATGCTATATATTTTATATACATTATGCTCGACGCAGCAGTCTTTGCGGTTACCACTCCTCGTATGCTTAAAACAACATGGGGTCAAATCCACATGTATAGCATTTTTACGAAAAAAGAAAAAAAAAAAAAAAAGAAAAAAAGGAGCACATGACGAGGTGAAGTAAACGAATAGCAAAAATATAAAAAAAGGGTTTCATTTTTAATAATAACACATCATCTGACCGCTTGGAAGCAGCTTCATTTCTGCGTTCCCCGAAGAAATTGGTTCATTTTGCAGCTAAAAGGGAAATCCCCCCTTTTTGCCGTAAAATCCATGTCTCGATGTACCACGGTAAAGGGGGGGGAAGGCAAACTACTTTTTTTTCAGAGCGCATTTGAAAAATGGCGCTTATAGGTATACACTAGGTGCTGTTGTGTGGGGGTGAATGCAAACCGATAAGAGGAATAGCAACTTTCCTTTTCTCCCTGAGGGAGGAAACAACCACTACCATCACGAGGCCGAGGTGGAGAAAGAAGGGGAGCCTATTCATCCATCGTAATCTACACTGAAGTCTGCTTCTTTTTTTTTTTTTTTCCTCCCCGATTTGGCAATATCAGCATAGGGACTTACAGTGTGATAAGTATGGGGCTACGCTGGGAACACATGCTAGTGGAGTACTCATCCGATTTAAAAGGTCTGCAAATCAATTCCTATCTTGTAGTGAGTCCCCCTTTTTTTTTTTCTTTTACAATAAATCGGTTATGTTCTTCTCAATCTCAAGGGGATAAGTTCTTGGGGAATAATAACTGATAACGTCTCCGCTCTTATTAACTAAAAATTTTCCAAAGTTCCAGCCGATGTTTTCCAGCCTTCCATTCGCATCGTGCATCTAGTGGGGGGGATAAATAAAAAAAGAAAAAGACATGTATGTGCATGTTCATATTAATCCACACATTGCAGCTGCAGCATCTGTCATGTGAACCAACTGACAGTGCCGTATTTTTCTTCTCAGTTCGGGGGAAGAAAATAGGTGGAACAGGGCGCAGCAAGAATTTCGCGTTTGCCCAGCGTAAAAAGGCGATCATCCTTAGGGAGCACAACTTCCCACAAATAGATCTCACATTTAGTAAAAATGACCTACCGAGTCACAGTTGGCCTTCAGAAATTTGAACAGCTCATGTGTATTTTCTCCATTGACTTCAATGGGGGAGAAGAAGTTATATTTGATCTTGTTCTTCTCGTTAAATGAGGAAATGTCGCATGAGTTGGAATATTCCTGACTTAGGAACTGGCTAGTCGGAAAGGCCAAAATCTGAAAAGGGGGGGTCAGGGATAGGATATAACGAAGGGGACAATAACAATGCAGGGGAAAAGGGACAAGTTCGAAATCCCATTCATATAGTGAGCAGCTCCTAATCAGATAATGCAGGCGCGTTCGAATGGGGGGTCTCTCACAGCAGGTGAAAGTGCCCTGTTTCATTTGGTCGAATCGCGAACCTCTAATCCCCTCTCGTTCAATCGGTCGTGCAGCTCGTTAAGCTCATCCACATGCTTCCGCGTTAAGCCGCACTTGGACGCGGAGTTAACAATCAGCAAAACTTTGTTCTTGTAAGTAGACATCGCCACAGTTGTTCCATCGAGCTTCTTCACATGGTAATCATAAATGGAGGGACGCAAGTCCCCTTTCGAAACGGTTATTTTTTTGAAGAAGCAAAACATGTCGGAAGGGTTTCTTCGCAAAATTAGCAATACGACGAATAGCTTTAAAAGTAGCAAAAGCTTCATCTTGGAAAGGAGTTCCGAAAATCCTTTAGCTTTTTTGTATAGCCGATTTTTTGGGCAACGCAGAGGAGTAATTCCTGTTTTGTGTTTTTTTTCAGGAAGGGAAGCCTCCTCACATGGTTTTATTTTGCTCGATTATGCTGTTCTCCTTTACAGCTATTTTGCTTCTTTACTACTGCTATTGTCACTTTTTTTTTCTTTTTTTTTTTTTTTGTTGCTGACTTGTTCAGGCAAAATTTCGCGAATTAGCTAACTGAAGAGAAACCCTCTTTCACTGGCGTGCAGTGACTGACGATGATTTGCTCGCTCCACGGAGAATGCGCCATGCTTTACGTGATTGGTCCTTTTTTTGTTCTCTCGAAATAATTCTCACAGGCAGAGTGGAAATAAAGGGTTTGGGTAATTTCCGTCCATGTCGCGATGTAAAAAAATGATGGGCAGGATTACGCAAAAAGGAAACAAATTGCAAGTTGGGCTAGAAGGAAGAGGCTACATATAATTTATTGCTATTTTGAAAATAAGCACCCTTTTTTGATGGATTTTTCTTAGAAAGGCAGAACTCCAGTCGTTCTACGTGCTTATTATCCTATCAAAAGGATTCTTTTCTTTTTTTTTTTTATCTCTTTTTTTTTGTAAGCAGAACGCGCATTTTTTTTTTCCCCCCCAGTTTGCCCCGCAAAGCGGAAAAGAAAAACGATGAAGCAAACGTCTACACGCAGGAATCACCAATCTGTGGATGCCTCACGATGAAAAAATTGTAAACGAAAATTGAGTATCCTTGATATGTGAATTTGATTCAGTGCGCCCTCTATTTGTTCTTCCGTTCCGGTCCACCTCCCGGGAAGGGAAGGAGAGGGTTTCACACGCGCGGTTTATGGGGCTTATGGCTATACCGCTTTCTGATAATATTAACTGCGATCCTTGCGATGCGTGGAGGAATGTCGATACTAGATCCCCCCCACACTCACATGTCATCACGTGCGATCGCACCCCTCTCCCCGCAAGCTAAGCCAAACCAAGCCAAACTAAAACAAAACAAACCAACACAGAACAGAACAAAACAAAACACCAAATGACCGCGCAAACATAACATGCTATTTTTAATTAAGAACCTGATTGGATGCGCACTTCTCCTGTTCGTGGTGACTACACATCTGCATGGGACATCGCACAAATGGCAGAAGGGGCTAAAGGGGGGAAGAGTCCTCAACGGAATAAAGACCCACAGCTGTGCCCATCCGAACAGCAATAAGTGGCCATACAACAGGAACAGAAATTGCAAGCTAAAAAGTTATCTGTACGTCCACAATAATAAAAGAAGGAAAACCCAGTTGTACAAGCTTAACAGGTATAAGGTCTGCTCGATTTTTTCAATCTTTGATAAGAGGAATGACGGGAAAAAGAAGAAGGGGGGGGAGCAAAGCAGTGCAGAAGTGTCACATAGGGGGAAGCCACCCGCAGGAGGAATGTCACAAAAGGGGAAGCCATCCGAAGGAGGAATGTCACAAGAGGGGAAGCTCACCACAGTAGAAATGCCACAGGAGGGGAATCCGTCCCCCGGAAAAGTAGCACCGGGGGAAGCGTCCCCGCCCGTGGAACCCCTTCCGCTGAGCACCCCCCACGGCTGGGAATCGGAGGGATGCATCGACCTTAGCAACCTGGAGATCATCCCCAAAGAGGCGCTGAAAAACGTGGTCCAATACAGAAAGCATTTAGAAAACTTCAAAATCAAAGTGTTCTTATCTCTGCAAAGCATCTTCTGTTCATATACGAAGGGGATAGAGAAGAAAGACAATTTGAGAAATTTCGTCCTCCACCTATTAAGCGAATTTCAGAGGAAGTTCCACAAGCACACACACCTAGAGGATGTGCAGAATATGCAGAACGGGAAAATGAAGGAAGAATATTTGCAGAGCAATTACAATTGCTTCCTCGATATCGTTAAAACCATTGAGGAGAATCTCTACAATCTTTTATTGTATAAAATTCAGTCCATGAAATTGGAGGCATTGGACGACATTAAAGAAACAGTCCTCTCGCAGAGGGAAAGCAACGCGGATTACATTTCCTACGTTAATCATGTTAATAAAACATTCGAAGCGTACGAGAAGAAGCTACAGAATTTATTCCCCTCAAGTTTTAAATTTTCCTTGTATAATAAAACGAGCAAAGAGAGCGGCGTTGAGGAGTCGAAGCAGCTGGAGCAGGGGCAGCCCTGCAGCCTCTCCAATTTTGTGTACCATTTTCCGATGGAAAAATATGAACATTTAATAAAAAAAAATATAAATTATGTAAAGAAATTATCACACGATCTGACAAAGAAGAAGAAAAAAAAACTCATTAAAGAAATTGAGCGAAGTAAGAGTTATCAGAATATTCTACACATCATAGACAACCAGCAGAAGCAAATTGAGATTTTACAGGAACAGCTAGAGGCCAACGTGGAAGGTTTCCCTGGCAAGTACTCCCCCTTTCACTGCGCAGTTGCCTATAGGATCCCCGACACGAATTTGAACATTTCAACTCAGTACGTTAAGGGGAAATTTAATGTCAAGCTGAATTGTATTCCAGATGACTCTTTGCATTTGTTGGGGTCATACGGATTTGTGAAGGCCCTCCCGTTTGGTAACTTGGGGCTGTCCTTCTCGATGAACTTTTGATTCGACTGGGTCGAGTGGTTCGAGTCACTTCTCCCCTTCGCAGGGGCGACGTGCAAGTGGGATGATTTAAAGAAGAAAAAAATAAAATGACATAAAATATAATAAAATAAAATGATAATTTTCTTTTTTTCTTTTTTACAATTTTGCACACGCAGGGGCTACTCCCCATGGGGGGAACCAAATAACTGACATTTCTTTTTTTTCTTTTTTTTTTTTTAACCTATGTTAAAGTTGTTCAAAATGTTTCGGAGTATACAAATTAAAAAAGCAGTTATGATTCGGGTGCGCTGAGTATTGCATGGGGTGACTCCCCGCCTTCCAGGTGCCGAGCGCACCCCACCACGGTTACGATTACCACCGCAGCTCCTTTGCGGCAGCAATCGTAGCATCCATCGCAGCATCTATCACAGTTGCCGTCTTTGTCACCTTCCCTGTGGCGTCCCAACCTCACAAGTCGCCCCCCCTCGCATTGTCGTAGTAGGGCTCCAGCAACTTTTTCAAATTGCCGAGGTTCTCTTTCACGAAGGTCCTCCACTTGACCTTGCTGTCGAGGATATTATAAACTATTTTGTGTTCTCTCAGAATGTCAAAGAAAATGTGGTAGTTTTTATTCTTCTGTGTCAATTCTAGGATCTTCTGCCTGACAGCCTCGATATGGTCATCCGTTTTGATACCAGCAACGAGATCTCTCAGCTCTTTCGATTTCATTAAAAGTTTCAGCAGCTCCTTCATGGACGTCCATTCCTCGCTGGCGTTGTCTTCCAGGTGGAAATATTTTTTTATCACACCTGTGTATTTGGTAACTTGGTCCGAGAGGGTGTTGTAAATGTTCTCCGCGGTGAAGCAGTTTGCCCCCGTAATCTGCAAGGGGGAAATTGGGGGTCGCCGTCGTTGTTGTTTTGGTCTTGTTGTTTGAAGTGGTGCACGGAATGGTAGGCAATGACAGAGAGAGGATAAAACTGACGCAATTGTGATTTGGTCGAGCTAATTCACTCTCTTGCAATGCTGCACTGACACCCTTTTACCTGCCCGGACAGAAAGACATACACATTTTTGTTTCCCCTTGGGAAGTGATCCGAGTTAAAATATTTCTCATTCATGCGCTTTCCATTGTTCCAAATGATCAAATCTTTCTCCTGCAGTTTTTTGTCTTTCAAACTGTTCGCTTCGATTATCACACTGATGGAGTCATTGACTAAGTCCAGCCATGTTTTCAGCGGCACCTTCTTCACGACGTTTTTGTGGATAACTGCAATTTCTTGCTTAACTTCCTGAGAAACGGGGGGGATAGATTAGATCAATTGGGAGAAATTTCCACGCCTCTGTGTAGACATATATGTGTGTATGCTTCTTTCCCCCTGGAGGGGATCCTTTCCTGATTTTACATTTTCAAGGGCATGTCCCAACGCGAGGGCAAAAAGGAAGCTCAATATCCACAGGGGGGTTACTACTCTCATGGTTTGGCCTGGGCGGGCTTGTCTGCTTCGTCCTTGGGGGAGTGCACACTTGGGGGCATAAATGCGTAGCCAAGAAGGGAGGCAGCTCCGAATGGAGAGTTGCCAAAGATGTGGCGATCAGAAGAGTAGCGGTCAGAAGAGTGGCAATAAAAAGCGTGGTGACCAAAAACCTGGCGACCAACTTGTCAATGGCGAAAAGGGAAAAGTTTTTAAATTTTATCTCTCGCTGGGGGGGAGGGTAAAGTACGCAATTTTGTAACCGCGGTTGTGCCTGTTTTATGACCTCCTGTTGTACAGCTCTTCTTTATGTTACCGATCTGGTTCAGTCGCGTTTTCGCTTTCTGGTGTAGGGGTTGTGCTTTCCTGTTACCACGTCTCTGCTGCCACTTCTACTGTAGAAAGGTGATCTTCCACTTAACGGAAGAATTGCGTACAGATCGGTGGGCTAAGTATGCGGAGTGGCCAATGGTGATGCATTCTGCCCAAGCAGCATCTGCAAAATGGGGCGATGAAGAAGGAACGGGTTATGGGATGCAGGGAATGCGCAGAGGAAGTGAACAAGACGGGCGTAGGA